CGTGACCACTTCCTTTACTTCCTTCCCTTTAGGACACTGGAAGACGGTATCTCTGGGCTTGGGGTGAGCAGGGTTTGCAAATGAAGAGCATGAAGTTCAGACATTGTAACTGATTTGCTGGTGGCAAAGTGGGGGAGGAGCGGGGTCCACTATGCTATGCTGTCTTTATGTCTCATTTACAACTAGTTTAAAATTAACCCACTTTTTTCAAAAACACAGTAACCACATTTTATGAGATGCAAGAATCCTGAGTGACTAGCAAGCTCTGAAGCCCAGGGACCCCTAGGATCTCCTGGTCCTTTCCAAGGCCAGTTATATGTGGATGCCAAGTGTTTCTCCATGAAATTCCAAACTATCTTAGGTTTCACACCATCAAACCTTTTAACATTATTGTTCCAATCCACAAATGCCCCATTTATGCTGGAGATGCATTAGGAGTGCTGTTTTATACCTGCATTGTAATTTAATATGCAGCATGGTGTAGCTTCTTGGGATTATTTCTTTTTAGCTTATATGTGAGCACGTTGGCTGCAGGTATATCTGTGCAGTATGCATATGCAGCACCCTCAGAGGCCAGAAGAGGGCGTCAAGTGGCCTGCAACTGGTGTTGTGGACAAGTGTCAGCGCTAAAGGGCACCTACCAGTGCTCTCGTAACCACAAAGCCTCCTTTTCACCCAAGTAGCTTGCTTGTTTTTGTAACTGAATTTGTCTTTTAGTCAATTAATATATCACAAATGACACTATAAGTTTTGACAGTTTTTTTTTTTTCTTTTTGAAGTATGTTTAAACAACAAAGAATACTGTCCTAGTCACCAAGAAGCATAAAACAGTTAATTCAGCTGTTAGAGGAACTGGCAAGATCTAGCGAAAGAGATTTCAGGAAGCCTAAATTCCACAGATAAAAAGAGAAAATGAGTCACACCAGGGAGCATACTAAAAATTACCAAAAATGTTCACTGTCTTCTGTCAGCCCAACAATACCATTTTATGATGGTATTTGAAGTCTCTTCATTTTTAGCCCATGACTAATTATATGGGCATCTTCCAAACCAACAATGACTTCACTTTTAAAGAATTCTAGTCGGGATAACATTTTGTTTCTAAAACATTACACTCACTCCTTTGCGCCAACCCCAATACCGAGTTCCCAAAAGTTTAATCAGCTACATTTTTTTTCTATCAAGTAGGCCAATTGCTATTATATTGGGGGGAGGGGTCAAGCAGTATGAAAAATAAAGACAACTTGGATGGTAGTCAGAAAAAAAATACATTCTTGTCTAGAAAAAAATAGCTATATTTGGTCACATACCATCTCCTAGATACATACTATTTTATATGCACTCACTCATTTTGGCTAAAGAAGAATAAGACCTGCAGTGGGATCACTGACCCAAAACTTGATCTGTATTAAAGCAAAAACATATCCCTTTGTATTCTCTGAATACCAATGCTATTCACAAGCTCCTACCAAGCAGCAAACTGAATGTTTAGAGGAGTTGTGGGGTCTGTGTGAGCCAGCATACTACTCTTTATTCAGACCAGAAGGCCAAGAAAACGGTGGTACTCAGAGAACATGACTGGGTAAAATTCAATCAATGGTATTATCACATCTTTTGACAGATTTTAGTGGTATAAAATAATCCATTTCCTGGACCATGTCTATAAAAACAAACAAACAAAACAACTTAGCATTTTAATTCAGGGGCAAATCGTGGAGGCCAAATGTGAGTAGAAGTATCAAGACCAAGACACTTGTACCCCTGAGCAACAATGTAAAAGACAACACCAGACTGCCAAGAAAATCACCAGGATTCATAGAGTAACCAAGGCCTAACAAATGGTCTGGCCTCATCTGCATTATCTTCTAGGAAATCACAAAGTGGGCCGAACAGGAAAGCACACCTGCATTATGTACTCCTATGTCAAGGCTCTAACTATAGTGCTTCTGCAAGAACTCAGAAAAAAAATCCTGGGAAAAAACAGCAATAACGGTAAAGGTACAGTTACTAAATATACAAATATACAAAGTCCAAGGACTAACTTACTGAATTTCATAATGATGACCCTATGGAGTTAAATATTATTGCATTATTATCATTATTCTCTTCATGAGGGACAGGGAAAAGGGTACATTAATCTGCCTTGGGTCACACAAGTAGTAAGTGACAGAATAAAAACTTAAGTACTCATTGTCAAACGACAAAGTTTTCAAGTATTTAGACATCTGTTTACTATTGTCACTGGATTTCAGGATGTCTGAAACCCCCAAAACGTCCCTGACAACAAGGGACTGGGTCTAAGCACCTCTGTCTTCCAGTGCAGGACACAAAAGCCAAGGGGAAAAGCAGCAAGCAGGTGCAGCTGGAAGAGACCCTAGTGGCCCTGTCAGTTCTTAGACAATGTTGCTGTTTAGACATGCAACTACTGTGCTGGGTAATTACCTCCAGGGTATCTTTCCATTCTAAGGTATCCTAATCTGAAAGCAGAATTATGCAATCTCTATAAAGAAGAAATTCTTCTACTACTGTGGAGGTCTGAATGAGAAGTCCCCTATAGTCTCCAGCATTTGAATGATCTATCCCTAGTGGGTGGGGCTGTTTGAGGAGACTTAGAAGGTGTGGCTGTGTTGAAGTGTGTCCTGTCACCTGGGGGTAGGCTTAGAGATCTCTGCTTTGTGTTTGCATCAGAGATATGAACTCTTGGCTTCCTGACCCTGCCTGCATGCCTCTGATCTGCCATCATGAACTCTAACTCCACTGAACCGCAAGCCCAAATAAACTCTCCTTTCTATAAATCGCCTCAGTCACAGTGTACTACCACAGCGACAGAAAAGGAACAGACACAAATACCTTGTGACAGAGTTAAAATCCAGTCCAGCAAACACCCAACAGGATCCCGGTGTGAATAAATATCTCAAGGAAGAAAAACAAAGGGCCCCTGCCTCTGTTTTAATATCTGTGTTGGAGAGAATGTTGGGGGGACTGTTTTTCAGGCCATGAATTGAGATTCATTTATTTATGGATCACAAAAGCAATTTAATGACTCATAGATGGCATTTGGTAAGTCTGAATGAACTATAATGAAAAATATACCTAATGTTATCTGCAAATGCCTAGGGTTAACAGTAAGTACTACCCTTTAGGTACGTGTGCAGTCAGTTACAGTAAATGACAGTTCTTGGTTCCAGCCTCTATCAAAAAAAGCTTGGTGGTGGTGCACACGCCTTTAATCCCAGTATGAGGAAGGCGTGGGACGGTCTCTCTGTGAGTTCCAGGCCAGCCTGGTCTGCAGAGCAAGTTCCAGGACAGCCAGGACACAGAGAAACCTGTCTTGAAAAAACAAAACCAACAAAACAAAACCTCAAAACAGCACAGTGGAAAACCACCAGGACATCTGGCATAGGAAGAGGGCTTAGCTACATCTTGACTGAAGTTTCCTGGATCCACACTTAGAATATCTCACGTCTGTAATTAGAGAACCTTCTTGACATGCTGAAGAGCCAGCTCTATTAGCCACTAAGAAATTCCAGGAATGTGGCCGAGTCAACACATTTCCAATGAAACACAGACACAAGACTGTGGAGAAAAACACAATGTTTGGAAGAAAGTGCATGAAGGAAGTCAGGCTCTGGAGGAAAAGCTGATTCCTGGCTCAACAGGAAATAACACAATGAACAAAGGAACACAGCAAGGATACCTCCAAAGATCAGCTACATTCTGAAGGCCTCTCCTGACGCAGGAAGGAGAGTGAGCACCGTAACATGAGAAAACACAAAACGTGACCTAGCACTCACTGACAGTGTCACAGACTCACGGTGCCCACCAGTAGCCAGGGAGCTACTGGCGAGTTGTTAGCTGCTGGGAAAGAGAAAGACAGCATTCTCTAAGACTGTATATTCCCTGGTAAATCAACCACGATCCACACATCCAAGAACACTGGGCCAGCACAAATTGGCCTTGAACAATTTGTGCGGCGAAGGGGCCTTGAAATTGCATGGGTAAGAATTAGGGGATGGGTCTGGGGAGAGCTCGAGAAGAAGACAGAGGGTCAATATGATCAAAACACATTATATGAAACTCTCACAGAAGTCATTAAAAAGAAGAAATGCAGAACAAGTCTAGGGAGCCCTTGAATTACAATCTCAACAATAAATTATGGGCAATGGCTGCTAAAAGCATCAGCTAGAAGACAGGTAGCCAGCTTTGTAATAGATACATCAGGCTGGAAACTTCTGAACTTAGAAGTTGGGCAAGGCCTCCTAAAGGGAAAACACAGTGAAAATACATCTAAAGAGATAAAGCTTTAGAGCCCTAAGGAGAACCTAACCCAACCAGTCCCTCAGATCCATTACAAGGGGACAGGAAATACAGGAGCCAGGGCAATGTTCTAACAAGAGCACAGAGATACAATCAGCTAGATTACAAATGCAGGCACCCTGCAAAACCCAGTCTCCTCAATAAATAAGGCCAAGAAAAACCAGTGGATGGAATTGTAAAAGACGAAAATAAGGCTAAAATTTAGACTCACTCAAATGTGCCCTCACCGACTTCATTTGATCCTGATTTGAACAAATGCACCTCAAAGGGACTTTTTCAGGATTGTACACTTTGACTACAGACCATCAGGTTACATAAGAATTTATTTTTAAGTTGTGAACTGTGATAATAATATTGTATTGGTTTGTTAAATGGATAAAACATTAAAAAGATAAAATAAAATAAAACATGGTACACATATAGAAACCCAAAGCAGATACTTGACATATTCCCCTTCTGAGGGAAAAAAAATTATCTTTCTGGTAGATGTGGAATTCCAAACAACTAAAAAGTAGGTCACCTGACTTCCATCCTTCAAAGGAAAGGGCTAAGGCTATCTCAGAGAGGTGAATACCACAAGGCCCAGGTTTCCGTCTGTTTCGGATGCTGTCCCGTTTAAAATGTAAGCATACATCTAAAGACAACACTCTGAAATACCACTCGCACTATATTAGAAAGCTTACGCGACGGAGCTGACAAGCAAGCATGCCTCTGGGGTCTCTTCCTGAAGCGCTGAGCTTATTTTCCTTCCTGCAGCTTTACTGATGGACGTCTTCAACTTTTTAGCCAGCTTTTTAGGGGTGTTGGTTATGGAAGAGTCCTCTGCACTGCAGCTGTACACTTCTATCTTTATCCGGAAGTCTGGGCCTGCTTCGCTGCTAGGAACAAAAGTAGTTGTGATGCTGGGAGTCGAATTCATTGGAAATTATAACTACAATACCTTGGCTGTTTCTACAATATTCAAAAATCGGTACTTAAAACATAATTGCTATATTTATTTAGTTTCCAAATGGCTTTAGAGGGTGGCTATAACTTTTAGAGCTGTTAGCTTCTAAACCAGAATCTTGCCAAGCAAGCATGAGTACCTAGCTGGTCAGGCAGCTTAACCTAATCAGTGAGCTCTAGGCCAGCAAAAGACACAGTAAACAGGCCTCCAGACACCTCTGCACATATATGCATGAACATCCCCACAGATGTTTGGACATTCACAGCACACATAAGAACATGCATGCATTCACACATACACAGCACACGCAAACAAGTGAGTGCTTTACTTCATTGAGCCAACATATACAGGCATAGTACTCAAAAAATAGAAAGAATAAGACACTATCATACTGTTTTTCCTTCACAGTCCTTTACTATCAAAACTTTAAAGTGTTTATATTATATCTAGAATTTCCTGAAACAACTATCCCTCCTTGAACAGAATCCATAGAACCTCAAATTCCCATTTGTTTCATACCCAGGGAGTCAATCCACTGCCTCAGTGTAGCCAACAGCTATTGACTTCCCACTATTTGGCTATAGAGATGGGAAGGACCACATTCAGAAATTCTCCAGTTTGGCTAGGGAGATTGGTTCAGCAGGTAATAAGCGTAAGGACCTGAGTTTGGGTCCCCAAACCCATAAATCAGATATGGTGCCCCCTGTCTGTAATCCCAGAAGTCCTTTGGCAAGATTGGCCCCAGAAGCCTACAGCCAGCTTGTTTGGTACATAAAACAGTGACCAGCAAAAACCAGATTCTGGCTCATACTAGGTAAAAGGCTAAAGTCTGCACTGGAGAGTGTCCCCTGACCTCCATACCTGCTCCATTTCATAAGTGTTCTCATACTCCCACACAAACAAACAAAGAAAATAGACAAATACATAAGTGAATGAATGGATAACTAGAAACTCTATGGTTTAGGATACACAACAACTGACTTCGCTTTTTCTAGGCACAGTGAGCTAGCATGAGCATAGAAACCCAGTGTGCTGTTGCTAAGAGAAAAATACACCTAGGAGCGCACTCATCTGCAGATGCAACCTGAAGACAGAAGGTAGTCAGCCAAGGGGCTTTAAAATTCAAATGGCCCACTGGGTGATGGTGACGTGCCTTTAGTTCCATAGTCCCAGCACTTGGGAGGCAGAGGCAGGCAGATCTTTGTGAGTTTGAGGCCAGCCTGGTCTACAGAGCTAGTCCCAGGACAGGATTCAAAGCAATACAGAGAAACCCTGCCTCAACCATTCCCCCCAAAAAATCAAATATCCCATCTACAGTTTGGGTAAATCCAAGGACCAACTTCCAGATATTTTTATAGTTCCTTACTTGGCAACTTCTAAACATACAGTATTCCTGGTAATGAGTAACAAATGTCAATATTTAGAAGAAATCCAGAGATTCATAAATATTGAAGACTTATTAAAAACAAGTATCATAACAAAAAGCACATTTTTTTTAACATTTAGAACATTTGTCAGCAGCTATTTTTAGGCCAATTTAAAATATTTATACCAAAAAAAAAAAATACCAACAAATCATATGTTGTCTTCCAAGTCATTTGTATTGTTCTTCCTGCAAGGGGGAAGGGAGTCCATCTAACTTTTGTCTTTGTGGCAATAAAAATAAAAAACAAACAAGAGTGGAGTGGTGTGAAGCAGAGAGCCAATTAGTGATTAAGTGTGTTTGTTTTGGTAAGAAAAAAAATGTCATTAGCAACATCTGAAAATAGAAATCAAGATATAGAGATAATGAAGGAAATACACTTTAGCCTAAATTATACAAGAACTTGGGACAATTCTTGAGGCAGGACATTAACTAAATTCCTTTCACTTAAAGATAACTTATAAAATGGCCTGTGTTGCTGCTAATAGCCCAGAGTGACACGTTGTTTTGTCCTATACAGTTACTCCAGGACACTAGCACAGAAGTGTCTGCCATGCTCCTGTCGGTGTTACGTGACTGGCAAAAGCAGTCCTCTGAAATCTCAAGTGTCAATGGACATGGTGATGGATGGGCTCCTGATGCCATGTGAGCAGTCCGGCAGCTATTACCACTCGATATGGAAATGGCATCTTGAAAGCTCCCAAGAAACAAATCCCAGGAGGCAGGAGGCCAGCAAAGTCTTTGAAAGAGAGGCCAGGAAAAACTCACGGTGGTTAAAAATGATCCCCACGGCTACCCAAGGAGCTGTTTCTGTCTCTCTGTGTGATGGCCATAATAAAATGAGCCTGCACAGAGTAGGGCAATAAAACAACCCTTATGATGGCTAGGCTGTTCTTCACTGTCTGAGTACATGAGAAGTCCACTATAAGAGAAAGAACGCCCAACACCACGATAAGTACTTAGAGAATGGCTCATAAGCAAACTTGCTTGACCACTTTATTACGTCCCACTAAATTTATGCACAAATTCACTGTACGTCAAACATAAAGCAAAATTCTATTATAGCTTAGTTGATGATATAAGTGTACATATTTATAAAAAGTTTATCAGAGCCAATGAGCCAACTATTTGCTGCTTTTATTAAGTACAAAATTTCTATTTTATTCTGAACCTTCCCCTTCCCCTCAAAAGTCTATCTTTTAAACATTTAAAGCTGTTAATGTTTTGAAAATGATCCAAGGACCGTCAGGACATACGCAGGCCATCAGAAACCAAAGGCAGCAATCAGCCCTTCTTTACAGATAAGAAAAGGAAGCAGGACTTCAGATTTCATCCTTTAAAGATTAAAGATACTTACAATATGGTGACGTTGTCAAAACATATATCTGTGATGGTCTGATCCACAACTACCATGTCGGTATCAAACACTTCGGCTCCCATCCTGAATAAACAAAAGATGGCGAAGCGTTGTGTGCCTAGAGGAGAGATGATGGTAGAAGCCATCACAAGCAGGGCAAATCACCCCTGTGTGAGAGAGACACTTGTCTCGCCTGCCTCAAACTGATCTGCCATAGTTATAGCCGCTGCTCCCTGTGTATGCAACGGTCCCTCACTTGACTCAAACCCGACAAGGCAGATAAAGTACTATTGGATCCTTGACTTTGCCTCACATAGTTAGGAAGTATTTGAGGTTAATGTCCATGGTCCAAGCAATACACAGATTTGTGAATACTGTGAATACAATAAAACAGAGAAAGAGAAAAAGAAGAGGAGGAGAAGATCACATCAAGCTAGAAACCTGTCATTACATCCTGTTAAATAATCTAATACAGATTAACGGGTCATATCAGAGAAAAAAAAGCAATAATACCACTTTTGCTTACTCACCCCAGGCATACATGCATATGTATGTATACATACACACTCATACACACACCTATATATATATATATACATATACATACATACACACACACGCACACAGACACATATGGAGGGGTATTTGTCTACCTTCCTCCTCATCTACCTTGAACCCATCACTCAGTTTCCCATCAACGATGGGAAAGTGTACTTGGTATGTGCCATCTTACTCTGAATTAGGGAATTGATAATACACAGACCTCATATCAGAAAACAACAGTTCACCAACACTGTGCTTATTGCCAAATGAAAGCGATTTATCTCAGTACCGATGAACTGTCCTCAGAAACCACAAATTTGTGTCCTGAGCACCAAAATAAACACTTCTGCTTACAAAATTAAACCATACTTACATTCTTTATTACTGAAGTGATCAGAGTCTTTCCACATTAGTGGTATTCGGATATCTATAAGGAGGGCAAAAAAAAAAAAAAAAAAAGACAATTTTTATTTCACCCATGATGTGAACCTCTGAATTCCATAACAGATTGCACCCATCAAAGCCAAGATGAAATATACACAGCACATTTTCTAATTATTGTTTGCAGTTGACTTTTAAAATACTTTATTTTTGCGCATATAGATGTTTTGCCTGCATGTATGTCTCTGCCTTAATTGCATGTCTGATGTCCATGAAGGCCAGAGAGAGGACACTGGATCTGAGGTTGGCTGTTAGCCATCATGTGGGTGCTGGGAACCCAACTCAGGTCCACTGAGCCATCTCTCTAGCACTACAGGTGATAATTTTAGAAGTTATTAAATATATGTGAAATTTAGAGATACTGGAAGGGAAAAGACACTCTTTTAAATAATCATTTTAGCTCCACATCTATGCCCTTTTCTTCTCCTCAGAATTATAATGCCTCCTTATCAGCTGTGCCACTCTGAGCCCATGTCTGTTTCTGGCCCAAACACTTCGTGGATGGAACCAAATCAGATATCAACAACTATAATCCCAATGCCAACACCATGACAGAACTGTTGTCTTTGGGGGTATCTGATTGTCACTGGGTCTATATATATGAATTTTACAAATTGGTCGAAATTTCCTCTTAATTTACTTAGGAACTAAGAATTTTTTTTTTTTTTTAACATTTACTCTCTTTCCTCTCCCTCCCCTCTCTCCCGTGTGTGTGTGTGTGTGTGTGTGTGTGTGTGTGTGTGTGTGTGTTTAGGTCAGAGACAACTTGTGAAAATTGGTCTCTCCTTCTATCATGTGTGTACCAGGAATTGAACTCAAGTCATCAGGGTTGGTGGCAAGCACCTTTATCTATTGCGCCCTCTCATGGACCCAGGGAACTAATAACTTCTTCAATGTTTTATCTTCACATAATGTGTTTACTTTTAACATTTTCTCTAACTTTGGCTTTTTGTTTGAGGGCTAGAGCTCAGCCCCAGGGGCCCGGAAGAGCCCCCACTGAGCTATGCCTGCAGCTCCTACCCTTACATTTTAATTAAGGTTATTCTTGTATATTTAATGCTTGAGGGGAGTTGTCTTATTGTAAATTGCATTTTTTCTTTCATAATAGTCTCTAGCAAGTTATTGCTGGTTTTAAGAAAAACTACCACTTTTTATTTATTTACCCTAAATCCAGCCACATTTTATTGAATGCTTTAATTCAAGAGTCCCAGTAACTTCCCTTAGGGTCATATCCATCCTCCATCCATTAGCTTCTAAAAGTATCCAATCTGCCTATTCATTTTCAATAGCTTCATTTTTCAGTCATTGCTTTAGCTACAATTCCAAAGCAGTGTTAGATTATGTTGACATAATAGACATTGTTATTTTGTTCCTGATTTTAATGGGAATGTCTTTGTCTTAAAATTATAGCCCAGCTGAAGGCCTGTCAGAACTCTCTTCTCACTTGACCACAGTGGCTTCTTCCTTCCATTCTACCATGGTCAATGGTTTCTCACTGTAGCTGTCCTGGTGGTGGTGAGGAAGCTTTAACTATTCACACTCTCATGGAAGGAAACCTATCCCAGGCTTCCTTAGCTGCGTCCCCATAACCTGTGGTCAATCCTGCTCACCTCGTCCCAACTCCATATAAACCAAGGGAGAGAGCATTTCTCATGTGTCTCCCAGTTGGCCATGTATTCTTCAGGCAGCAAAGGATCCAGCTTCCAATGACAGAAACACCCTCCAGATTCTGGCAAATGACTACCTGGGTTTGCCAGGTGGTAAACAGTAGTCCACCTTTGTTTCTTCTGTCTTCATTGGCAGTTCATGCCAAACTAAGACAACCCAAACAGGTTAGCTAACCTGATGTATCAGGTCCCAGACCATAATCTGTGAAGAGAGAGCTAGGGACTCGGGGCAATGGCTCAGTGGTTAAGCATTTGCTGCACAACCACAGTTTGGGGCTCCAGAACCCACTTAGAAGCAGGATGTCTGTGGCAACCACCTGTAATTGCAGCCTGGGGGGGGGGTGTCCCCAAAGAACGCTGACTCTAGAGACTAGTTAGTCATGGCCAGGGACCTGTGGGTTTGAACGACAGACCCTGCCTCAAAATCAATAAGGTAGAAGAATGGCTGAGAATGACTCAACCTCAGGGACCCGCAAACACAAGCACGCATGCACTTACACATGTCCACACACATGCAAGCATGCGCACACACACATATGAAAATGAAAAGTAAAAAAAACCACTGAGGTTCCTGGTTGACTGATTTTGCTTAGTTGCTGAATTTCAAGTTAGTGAAAACACATATCAACTGTCACAATGCCATTACCTGCTGTGGAAGGTATGGGGACTGGACCTGTTATTTTTATAATTATGAAGCTCTGGCCAGTGGAAACAGGTACAAGAAACTCAAAATCCAGGTCTGTCCCATTTACAGTGCAATCTCGGGAACATTATGACACTTGGCTGCAAATGTCCAGCGAGCCAAAATCATGTTAATGACACACGTGACCCATCTTCCGGGTTTCTTGGGAAGAAAAAACATGCTTTGGGGCAGACAGCCTCGGCTGTTGTACAAAGGTATCTGCGATTATGAAAGGAGCAGTCTTACCGCATTTTTTTGTTGTGGACCCTTTCTAAATGCAGTGGCAGTAAACAAGCACTCTCGGTATAACAACAGATGATGACAATCACAGGACTCACAGAACAGACCACCTACCTCATTTGCCTACAGAGCCGTGGCTTACTAGAAGCAAGGGAAGGAGGACAATATGTAAGTGATGGCAGAAGGTCTCCTCTAAAGATTTACAACAGTGAATCTACTCGTGTTAAACTGCATTTAAGCAGAGTAAAGAGGGCTCTGCAAATGGCCTCTGTTTGGCTTTAAAAGGACACAGTGCAGTGGGGCCTTGTGTCGGCCACAAGCAGACGAGCAAGCATGGACACAAATACCACAAAACAGGCAATGGGTATTTATGCAGCACATCTAATTCTCTGAAGCACTCTTTACTCTGCAGAGGACAATAGCTCCAAAAAGGTCCTAAATAAAATGATTGCCTGTCCTCCCTGCATGGTAACTTTTGTCCAGACATGACTGTGAGCGATGGAGATGGAGAACGGTCCCTTGTGCGGCAAACCTGGTGACACAGCAGCTAGGCACTCCACCTCAGGCCAATGGGATGAGCCAGCTATTGCTGGGAGCCAGCGCAGGACACACTGCTATTTCTAGCGTGTGCTGATTCAAACCTGCTATGCTAATCATGTGGCCTCTCTATGCCATTGTCTTGGGTAGCCCTGCCATTTTGGAGAAACTGAGACTACACAGCCTCAGCGCCATCTAGTGGCAAGATGCCTTCTAACACCGCTGACAGGAAGCATCATTCCAGCCTGAGTGATAATGGGAGGGTTTAGAGATGAGCAAAGAGATCCTGGAGAAAACACCACAATTTCACAACCCAATTAGATGTCCCAACCGGGGTTTGTGTTGACAAGGGAAGGAAGGAAAAAACAAAAAAACAAAAAAACAAAAAAAACTCTGCCTAAAGCACGTGGGTTGGGTAATGGGAGACAGAGCCAGAGAAAGAACTGGGCCAGAATGGAAAACTTGGCGGGGCTGGGGCAGCTTGGTTTTTACAAGCTGAAAGTGGTCAGTCAGATATCTATCCAGCATTCACTGAGAAATCAAGAGGAGCCAAGTCCAGTGTCAGTAGCTTTGGTGTAATGTGATAACAAAATAAAGATGGGCCAACCCCTACGAAACCTGCATCTTAGAGAATCGCTAAACAGACAAGGTAGGGAGAGAAAGCTTGTGGGTTTGTTGTTCAGCCTGAGCACACAGCAAGCAGGTCATTTAACACACCTTCCACACATTCCACAGCCCAAACAGAGAGGGACAAGCCTGCATGACGTATGTAACATAGGACATAGTTTCCCCAAGCAGCAATGTTCCACACAAGTGTAGAGCATACAAATACAATAGTTTGAAAGAAATAATTCTGATGGAGGCATGAACAATGAAATGGAGAGACTGGAAATACAGAATATACAAGGCCAGCAATGCTAGCCACTTTAAAGACATTCAGCGACGCAGGGACGCGTCCGCAGCGTACCTGACAGGGCAATCTTCCCTTTGCAGGCTCTTCGCACTCTACTTTCACAGCTCCCATCACTGCGAAGAGAAAAACACATCAACACCAACAAAGGCCTTTTAAAATAAGCAACTACTTCAACTCTTTCACAAATCGCTGAACTTTAAAATAAATACACACCTATTAATATTAATGCGGGACATTTGGCTCAAAAGATGTTTGGTCGACAGTTAGCTAGCTTTCAGGGTGATACAGAGGTACACTCTTTTGCATTTATATAAACTATTATACTTTCTAATAATATGTACTGGTGACACTAAGATGGTGGCCTTGCTAACACTCAACACAATGGACAGTATTTTCCCTGTCCCAGGAAACACAATCACAAAAAATCCTACATTTTGAGTTTATCGCCTATACTGGCCTGAAGGAGTCAGGTGTTTCCCAAATCATGCTGTGGGCTGCTATCACTGAAGCCGAAAGACACCCCCACATCACCTTACACTATAATTTATGTGCAGCTGGAATAGTATCTCATTTCTTGTAAGTTCCAAAGAACCAGCACACAATCGATTAATATGAGAGAATAGAGAGCAGAGAGGAAAACAGAAACCCTCTATCAAGGGAATTCTGAGATGTAAGACAACCTCACTCCCAAAGTTAGGGCTTCATATCAGTCAAAACAAAGTGACAGGCCATTCAAGCTGGAAGATCATGCATTCAAGGCCAGCCTGTGCTACCTCATAAATATAGCAAGGGAAGATGATAAAGACGGCTCAGTGGATAAAGGCATTTGCAGTCAAACCTGGGGATCCGAGTTTCATCTCCTAGACCCACATGATGCAAAGAAAGAACAGATTCCTGCAAAGTTATGATATAAAAATATTATCAAACTATAACATAAATCCAACTAGCCATAAAATTCTGCAGAATTGAGTCACTCTAAAAAGAAAAAAGGGGAGAAAACTGAAATCTCAATTTCTGAAACTTCAGTTACTTTCAGTTTAGACACCTTTGAAAATGTTATTTTAGGTGCAAAAGTGGGATGCTTCCCCAGTTCATCCAAATCAACCTAGAAATTTCTAAGTACAGTTGTTTTATTAAGTTAAAGATGTATATGCTTGAAAAGCTGCAATGGTCATACCAGCTCTGAATGCTGCCAGTAGAGTCAAACCAAGCAAAAAGCAAAGGTACAAAACAGTGGACCCCATTCATGCAAACCCAGTTCAGAATGCTATCTTGGTAAGACCTGCACACACTAATTTTTTTTTTCATAGTGAGGATCAAACCTAGGTAGGGCCCATTACTCTACCACTGAAACACAATCTTAACTTTTTTGTAGATTCCTGCCTGTAGGTACAGAAAATGAACAACAGAGGGCGCCAACCTGCCACTCTGTTGCTCAAAAACCTGTATGAAAATGCTTTGGGTAAACACACCTCGGCTTGTTTTATATTGTTCCATATGGGGGTTTTAAACGGCATTTCTGTGCTGGAACTGGTTCATTGTAACAAAAAATAGCATAATGATAACAATATTTTACATTTTCTTAATGAAATAGTAACAGGATTCTAAGTGGTATTCTGTCATTTGAAAGCATATTATAAAGCCCTTCACCTTTTATGCACATAAATGAAAATTAAAACATTCAGAATACAAAGTATAGAATTTAAAGCCATCCTAAAACTATGATGATAGTAGACTCATGATGCCCTTAATTATACCCCAAATATGATATAATCAGCCCCTTTCCAGACACCAAACCATCTAAAATTTAAGAAATTCAGCAGAGTCTCTACATATATGTTTCACCACAGAACAACTACAAGCACAGAATTTTTCCTTCCTATCTGTGCTTTTTCTTCTTTTAACTTACAGTATGCAAGCAATAAAGTAGGAGACTGGGGTGTGAGGACAGGCAATCACATTCAACTCACAGAGTTATTCCGGCACCATTAAAAACTCACAATTACGTTGAATGACACACATAATTAAATCCTATAAAGGACTCTAATTAGCATCATTTTATTTTTACAAAGCCAAATAAAGCATTTCAGACTTTTAAGTCGAGAAGAGAGGGAATGGCTGGGGTTGGGGGATGGGGGCTGACGGAGGACAGTGCTAAAACGTACGTGTGGAAAGGATGCTGTGTGCTGAGTATCACACCCAGCACAGGGCCTCACCTGGCCTCAGGCTCTGGGACCGCTGCTGAGAAGGACAGGTGGCACATGCATCTTTGCAATGGTGCACGCAGCAGATCTGGGCTTGGGCTTTACGTCACCACTCTTCATTACCACTTCCCTCAGGGAGGTGCTGTCTGTCTGACAGCACCCACACACACAGAAGGGACACACCAGTTAGCTTATGCAGCCGCAGGATGAAGTGACGATTCTAATTCACCTGCAGGATTCTTTAAGGTGTCACACAAACAGGAACCTGCACTGTGAGTGCAGAGGTTCTGGCTCCGGCGTGGAGCCTAAGCTCAGGGAGAAGGTACACTAAGTCACTTGCTGACATCACCAGAGTCTAAACCCACAGTTCTCATGAAGCAGTCATCTGAGACTCTCTCTAAACAGCACACCAGAGCCTTGCTACTATCAACAAAAAAATTAGGTCTCCTAAAACTCCCACCAACAGCCCAACCAGAAAACAGGCACCACAAATACCACTCTTTGGAAGACATGAAAGCCAGTTCCCGGAGGCCTCATCCCAGAGTTAGGTAACCATCAGCTGATACTACACTAGCCCAGAAGAGAAGAGAAGAGAATATGCTTAAAGCTTGATAACACTTGTGGAATACCAGTACTAGATCCTGGGGGCTTGAAATGTACTTAGGTTCAACAATTGTTAATATTGTAGAAGAGATATGTGGACAGTGGTGGTGCACACCTTTAATCCCAGCACTTGGGAGGCAAAGGCAGGTGATCTCTGAATTCAAGTCCAGCTTGGTCTAAAGAATGAGTTCCAGGACAGCCAAGGCTGATAGAGAAACCCAGTCTTGAAAACCCAATATGTATATGGGAGGAAAGAGACATGAGGTGGGAGAGAGGACCCATGGACGTTTAGCATTAAAATAAAAAGAAGGCAGTTAACCAACCTTAAGAACCCCAAGAAATGACGTCATACCCAAGAACCAGAAAATCAACCAACCAATGTCCCCCAAAAGCATCGTTATTAAAAGCATGATCCACTACTCTAAAAACAAAACACTACTGAGTAAGAAGCCAAGAAAGCCCTTCTAGCAACATCCTACTTACACCACCAGGGTCTTGGTGCAGAGAAACATCTCAAAGTTATTATGAACAACAATAACAACTGATAAAAAGAGACCATCATATCTATACAAAACCCTATAGAGAGAGTCAGCTCATGAAAATATTCTAGCAACCATATATTTAAAAAGGAAAAAATACCAAAACCCAAACACAATACTCCTGAATGAATTACTTGAAGTTAAACAGGTCATTGCACATGAGAACGAGGAGGTAAATGCAACTGCAAGAATCCAAAGCCCAAACACGCAGACAGAAGCTAAAACCCAGGCAGATAGACAGTGAGGAGGATGAAGGACAGAACTGGAAGGGGTAGTCAGTTCTCAGATCAACACTGAAGAGCACATTCGGGATGCAGCTGGCAAGGAGAAAAAAAAGTCGAGCACTAAGAGATCACAAAGGATGGTCACAGAGGACAGGGCCAGCATCCAACATCTGTGTGAGTGGCAAGAGTTCTTAAATAAGAAAGAAGAATAAACTAGATAAAATTAGCAGTTCATTTTCTAAAATGAAAATTTTCAGAAAAGGGTCGTGTGTGTGTGTGTGTGTGTGCGTGTGTGTGTGTGTATGTGTATGTGTGTTTGTATGTCCATAACTAGGCCTAAGAGTTCACCTTATACACATTCAATTTCAACATTAAAAACAAACAAATACTACTTTCAAACTCCAGGCACAAGGACCATGTTATTTACCACAGAAAGATAATCAAACATTTGTTTTTTAAAAAATACAAAGACGTGGAAGATTTTCAAGACTCAAGGGTAAAAATTGCCACCTAAAACTTTTGCAATTAGAGAAGCCGCCTTTTAAGTAGCATCTCTAAGGGAAAAAACTTGAAATTTGCAAGGATGTGAAGAAGGCTGAGAGAGGACTCATTTGGTAAAGGACCTGAACAAGCATGAGGACCTGAGCTCGACCCCCGGGTTCCAGTGTAAAAATCCAGGTGGGTAAGCACATTTGTAATCCCAGCACTGGGGAGGTGGACACAGGTAGGTCCCTGGGGCTATTTGAAAAGGGTAATTAAAAGAAACCAAAGGGATATAGCCAGATGCACTGCATGAAACTAAATCAAATTTTAGTGAAAAAAATAAACAAAAACCCCAACTGTAAAAGATTTTGAGCAGTTGGGTGAGGGTGAATATAGAAAATTATTAACATTTTTGCATATAATCATATTTTAACTATGTTCTTAAAGAAGGATACATGTCGCACTTGCTATCATCCTCAAATGCTTCAACAGAACAATGTGTGTTCACACGCACACAGAGAGAAGGCAGCGGATGAGCACACGTGGCCAACCAAGTGAACACTTGCGGATGTTTATCTATGAAAGAGCTCAAGATAAAGAAGTGGTTTTTCAAAGGCAGAAGTAGGCAGATTGGGACTTGGTGAGCAATAGAAGGCAGCAAGAAGCTCCGAACACAAAAGGAAGCAACAAGGGGAAGCAACACCCAGCTAACTGCTGTCAAAGTGAATCTTACTTTCCACCGTAACTGTGAAGGGGAAGGAGAGTGGCTTCCTCCTCCTCCTAACTGCAGAGCGACGGCTTTCTGCCTTCAGTTCTTCTAAGCACGGCAGAAGCCCAGCACTGCTCCGGAACGCAGGAATTAAGTTGATGCACAGTGCAGCTGTCCTGCAGCCCTGGTGTGAAAAGGTTTCAACTGAGCCAGACAACCTGGTCATGTTCATCAGCTGTCAGTGGCGGCTGCAAGACCCAGTAGGAAGTCCCAGAGAAACTCATTCACTCAAATCCTTTCAGGGGCTGGGGAGATTGCCCAGTAGAGAGCAGCTGGAGTCCTTGCAGAAGATCTGAGTCTGATTTCCAGGACCCACCACTGGGTGGCTCACAACAGCCTGGAATGCCAGCTCTAGGAGCTCTGGTATTGTTTTCTGGTCATCAAGGGCATGGTATTCATGTACACACACACACACCTAAACATAATTAAATAAGGTAAAACTTTTTTTAAAAAAGTCATCTCGTGCCAGACATGGTGGCACATAACTGTAATCACTGCACTTAGGAGACAGAGGCAGATTGGAGCCCTGAGTTCAAGGCCAGCCTGGCCTACACAGAAGGTTCTAGGCCAGCCAGGTTTACACACTGAGGTCCTGTCTTTAAAAAACAAACACAAAAGCCATTTCATTATCGGATACTAGATTGGTGCTGTTCCTGTGTCTCCCTGTCTTAACTTGTCTTAAAATGTGGTTATTTCCAATCCTCTGCTGTTGCTATGTGATCTCCCAAACACTGTTATAGCACGGACTCTTTTTGCTTAAAAAGTTATAGGAGGAAAGTTTTTAAAAGATAGACATTAACCCTTATAATCACTTGACTGCTTTGAGAAGCAGAAAGAAGCAAAGCTGGTGTCGGGGGAAGCGGGGAAGAGGGTGAAGTACAGCACCTTTCGGGTCCTTGGGTCCCTGGCCTAGGTCTGGGAGAACTATGTTCCCAGGACAGGCTAACAGTCCTAGTTTTCCTAGTGAGGACCACCCTAGATGATGACATTGGGACAATTTTATTAGTAATGCTGGGCATACAACACAGACACTAGGAGATTTCCTGAGCACTGAAGCATGCCTTTGGGTGTATGTCTGCATGCCCACATAGAGGCATTACCTCATCACACTATAATGCACCCACAACACAATGACTGAGGCACACAGGTTACAGCATCTACAGTAAGGTAAGGCCAGTGATGAACTAGCCACTTTGTAGCTATGTGTCAACTCTATCACAATCCTATGCTTGTTTGATTTTTACAGACACCTTCACACCTTCACTGACCTGTCCATACCTTCCTTTTAAGGAATTTAAGGGAGGGACATGGTGACTCACCCAATGACCACTAAAGCACACAGAGACTTCTCACTTCTACCATAACTACCAACAACAAGGGAGCCTAATGCCCTGCTAAGAGACCCTGAAATCCAGCCTCTAAAGTGAGCTTACCCAAGGTCCAGAAAAGACCTGGCATTATCTGTAGCTTAGGACACTATATGATACACAAGTGCCCCATCTGTTCCAGAAGGGCCATGTGGAGTGACAGAGGCCTCAGGACCAGAAACTAAGCAGCAAGCCCTGGCTGGAGATAGTTGGCAGCTTCGGAGGACACCACTCCCTTCCTGGGAACTTGCTCACCATGGGAAGGGCTGAGCTCATCTATTTTAAGTTTCCTTCCACTTACATGTTTATAATCTGTGGCCCATTCAATTTCTCTGAGTTGCTGTTGGAAAAACATGGCTATAAGAAATTTGATTTGAGTGTTTCTAAGCAGTTAATTTTATCAAGAGTTATTTTCATTTTACAGGTATGGGTGTTTTGTGTGCATGTATGTATGTGAACCATGTGCATGCCGGGAGCCTGAAGAAGAGGGCATACGATTCCCTAGCACTGGAGATACTGATTGGTTGTGAACAGCCAATGCTCTTAACCACTAAGCTACCTCTCTAGCACCAGCAATGAACTTCTTAAAGACACTCTTCTATGGATTCCACATCTCTCCATCTCTGCCCTTTCTTCTTGAAACACTCCCTAGACTTTGCTCGTAGGCCAGGTTCACATTGGAGCCCATACTAAGCAAGGAACTCTCATCAGAAGTGGCTATTCAGTGAGTTCACTTTGGCCTCTTCTGTCCACACAACTGTTATGTTGGCTGGCACTTTCATGTTGACCTTTAGGGGGTATGGTGACCTGACTTTTTGTTTTTGTTTTTTTACTTATACTTAAATACCGTCCTGTTCAAATACTGAAGCACATTAAAAAGTAGGTAAACTACAGCACTAACCGTCTTCCAGTTTGACTTGTAATATGTTCCTCTGACTTCCGTAGCTCCGCCGTGTATGCCTCTATCCGAGCATTGCACACCAGGAGGTTCTTAACTGCATGTAAAACCTGGTCTTTTTTTGTACTCAGGGAGAGCAGCTTCCATATTCCTTCTCGCATTCGGATTTCTAAGTCTATTTTCTCTCGGATGTTGCAGTCCTAAAATAGAGAATTGTTAGTATGAGGTAGCAACAGTCTACAACTGTATTTAAGACAGGCAATGGGAAATGTACTAGACATCATCTATTTTCATACCATTCTGAGAATGAAGCAAGGTTTTTGACTAGTCGCTCTATAAAAATACAGCTCTTTTAAAAAGCTATTTGCAAAATTCTTACATTTCTTTCATTATTGGGAATTCTTCCCAACATACTGGCTAAACAAAACAGAGACAAAGATAAGCAAAAACAAAGCTACTATACACCCCACTAGCTTAATACAGTTCTCAACATTCATGTCTACCCAGAACCCTAAAATGTGCCCTTATTTAGACACAGAACTTTGCACATTGTTAATTAAAATGGGGTCAAATTGGATTAGAATGCATCTCAAGTCTTAGTAAGGCCATGTACAGACTGACTCAGAGAGAAGGCCACGTAAAGACACAGACACACAGATGCTGCCAAGAGGACACACACAGGGCTGGTCTTAAGAAGACACACAGGGTTTGAAAGCCTTCTGATGACAGACACATGAGGATGTTACATGAAGACAGAGATGGCACACGACAGGTTAATGGCAGCAGCCAGAACCTGGAAGAGGCAAGCAAGAGCCTACAGAGGGGGGTGGTGCTGTCAATACACTGACTTCTGGCTTTTGGCCTCCAGATCTGGGGAGGACATGTTGGTCATATATTATGATTGTTATGGCAGCCTTAAGAAATGTACAATAAGAGGACGACCCTGAGTGTTGAGACTCTGCAGCAAAGCTGAGCAGGTTTCTGGGCCCATGTTACCAGGAACTGGCTAAGAACTGAATCCCCACGGCTAGCATGTGGGGTGCTGTGGGTGCCATGGGGGTAGTGTGGGCCACAGACTGGCAGCTGATCCTGGACTGGGTGCCTTACATGGAGGGCAAGTTTAAGAAGGATGATTAGGCAAATGCCTGCCACATACAGGATCTCTCTGGCGTCACACCCTGCTGCCTCAGAAACTGCTTAGCCTAATGAAGAACACTGAGGAAGCCTGCATCATTCCAGGAGCCTCTAAAATGATGGACACTTGGGCTGCCTTATTGATGGGTGTAGCATTAAACTTTGTTCTCACACCTCAAAACAAAATAAAACAAACAAAAAGAAATGTACAATAAGCAGCTGGAGAAATGATGGCTCAATGGTTAAGAATGTTTGCTGCTCTTACAGTGGACCAGAGAACAGTCCCCAGGACACAAAAATTGCCTGTAACTTCAGCTCCAGGGGAACCAACACCTTCTTTGTTCTATACATGTGTACATAACGCCCCCCCACGCACATAAAACATATTTTAAAGTATATAATAACAACCATGAGCAACAGACTACCCACATGCACAGATCATGAGTGCTACACACATGCACACATCATGAGTACTAAAGAAGTTTGAGCTATGGCTGAGGGACACTGAATTTGCCCAGAAAAAACTCTGTGAAAGAGCAGACAGCAGAATAAGGAACACAGAGAAGACTGGGCTGGTTATCACAGTGACATTGGAAACAAAACTCAGAAGCCAAGGCTAGAAGCTCCATGCCTGAAAAATGCCAGAGGCCTCAGCTGCAGGGACAGAGGCTCAGTTTATTTTGGTGTCACCAAGAAATTTCTTTGTAATTTAGTTCTGGTTCTTAGTCTTTTGTTCCATTTAATGATAATGCAACAGGCTCATTCAATACACAAGTCTCATTCATATCATTAAAAGTCTACAAACAAGACACACAGTTCTCAATTCACTCACAGTAAGATGTGAATATTGTAAGCCATGAAGGTCCTCTTTCTGTATAAGCACATAACTCATGTGTGTTTAAAAGTTACGTGATGATCTTCACTTCAGCAATAAAAACTGTTACTTTCTCATTGTACCAAAATATCAATTTAAAATGTGCAGAGAATCTAATGATAAAAGTGCCAAATACTAAAAGGACAATCATTTTAAAAGAAAGAGAAGAAGAAACCGGTTGGAAGAGTTGACAGTCTATGATGACTCCCAAAAGCAAACTGCTGGATGGCTTGATTTGACTCTCCAAGACTAAAGTGCTGAAATATTCACATTGGGGAACAGATCTGCTTAATTACCTTCTGTTATCCTATGTTAGAGTCGTCACATGCTAACCTTGTTACGTAGTGTGCACCAGCATCAACCTGGGCCACCATATAAATACTGTCCCTTGCCAGTCTCCTTTCTTTGCCTCCTTTCTTTCCCTCAACTCCTCTCTCATCTGTGTACGACTTGTTGGTCCAATGACTTTCTCTTTTCATGTTATCGGCAGTTAATTATAAGAATCATCTATGTGGCCCATATGTCTACAGTAATAAATGGTGGCAGGCTGGTTAGCGCTGGCAAGGGCGTGCTGGGAGCACTTGAAGCTGGGAGGAGCCGCTTTACCCCACAGCGCAAATATAAATAAATGCCAGCTGGTGCCCCCAAACTCAGCTTTGCCTTTTAAACACAGCAGTGAAACAGTTGACTGAACTGGCAGAGGTTCTGAAAGCTCGCTGCTACATCAGAGAATCAACGGAGACACAGAGAAAGAATCATATCTGTACTCCTTACAGTATCATATTAAAATGTCTGACCCCCAAAAATCAGGGTCTCTGGGCACAGGGCTGGGCATTTTTTTTTTTTTGGAACCTCTAATGTCATGGTTCTCAACCTGTGGGTCGTGACCCTTCTGGGGATCATACATCAGATATCCTGCATATCAGATTCTTATTATCATTCTTAAAAGCAGCAAAATTACAGTTACAAAGTAGCAATGAAATAATTTATGGTTGGGGGTCACAACAACACAGAGAACTGTATTAAGGGTCGTAGCATCAGGAAGGTTGAGATCCACTGACCTAGTGCTTTACTGGCTGGAACAGACAGCTATTGTCAGAAAGTGAAATTCAGAAATCGTTAAAATTGCAACAACCTGAAGAAACCAGCAGGGGGCCACAGCCACACTACATACCAGCCTGGACTTCAGGGTGTCCACCTGATCTATGAGGAAAGCCTTCTCTGTAGTTGTCACCTGTTGAAAAAGACTCACATAATTGCAGAGGTTTGGGAAACAATAGAGATAAGAACTGTAAAGTCTTAAAACAAACAAAAGCTCATACATGGGAATTAAGATAACATTCACTAAGGAAGTGAGGCACACATGGCAGATATTACTAGAATTTCATCCTTTTTTTAATTTTTGAGACAGGATTTCTCTTTGGCTGTCCTGGAACTGGCTCTGTAGACCAGGCTGGCCTCGAACTCATAGAGATCCACTTGCCTCTAGAATTTCATCCTTTACAGCAACAAGAGTTAGCAAACTACAGCCTGGTTGGTGCCTGTTTTTGTAAATAAAGTTGGACTGAATCGCACTAGCTCATCCTGGCTGTGGCTACTTTCCAACCACAATGGCCAAGCTGAGAAACTTAAAAGACTGTGGTCAGTAAAATGGAAAATATTTACTATGTGATCTTTTACCCACTCCAGTGAATATGCATTATAGACTAGGACCCTGCCTTCTTTGCCAATGCTTGTCAAGCAGATAGAAGAGGGCTGATACACCAGAGTGAACTAACTGCTAAATGTATGTAGACGTCATCTTTGAACATGCTCAGTTAACAGTGTGTACGACTGCAGCAAGTTTATGTTCCCCGCACTACTTGCTGGCACCCACCACTCTATATGGAGAAGGAAATCTCCGACCAACACCACTTACCAGCTCTAGTCAAGTAATGAATTACAGAGCAAACGGACTCATCTTTACTTAGTAAGCGAACATGGTACTGCTGGGGAGAAACTGATGTCTGGGGAGATCCAGTGAGAATAAAGATCGTGAAAGGAGGGGCATCCACTGAGCACACAGTGATGCTGTCTTCCAAGAGGGCTGAAGAACTAAAATCATCACTGTCGCTGCCACAGCCCAAAGGGCACAGCCAGGCACAGTAAACAATGACTTGGCCAATGAGAAAAGATGCTCTGTATGCATCCTGCTGGAGTGTTGTAAAGCAAGTCCCCAAGAAGATTGGGTTAGTTACTCTCCTTTTCAGGGTTCCACTTTCTGAATAAGGGCCAGCCTATAATCAAGTCAAACAGGCACTCACATCGCTGTCCTAATATGATAAGTAGATAAAGTTGGCAGCTAAGATGGAATGGGCAGCGCAAAGCTAAAAACTGAATAGGTGGACCCTTTAAAAGTGGAAGCCAAGGGCTGCAGAGATGGCTCAACAGTTAGGAGTGCTTGTCATTCTTCCAGAGGATATGAGTTCAGTTCCCAGAACCCACAACATGCAGCTCACAACCACCTCTGACCAGCTCCAGGGGATCCAACACCTTCTCCTGACCTCCCAGGTACCCCACACTCATGTATGCGTGCATATGTGCAAGTATGCACACACACACACACACACACACACACACACACACACACACCAATCTTTGGGATACATAAAAGCAGAAATGGGGAGACAGGGAAATGGCTCACTGTACAAGCATGGGGACCTGAGTTCACAGAAAAGCCAGGCACCATGGTGTGCCCCTGTAATCCCAGTGCTGGTGAGGTGAAGACACAGATCCCAGGCTTACTGGCGGTCAATCTAGCAGAAAATGTTCTAGGTCCAATAAAAGATTCTCTCTCTCTCTCTCTCTCTCTCACACACACACACACACACACACACACACAGAGCCAGGCATAGCGGCACACACCTTTAATCACAGCACAGGGCAGACAGAGGCAGGCAGATCTCTGTGACTTTAGGTCGACCTCCCCTACATACTCAGTTTCAGGGTAGTCAGGGGCTACATGGTGAAACCTTGTCTCAAAAACAAACAAAAACAAACCCAAAAACAAAACAACAACAACAAAATAGTGGAGAGCAACAAAGGAATACACTGAAGCTGACCTCTGACCTTCGTGTGTGTGCACAGACAAACATAACTACACACATGTGCACAGACACAGAGAAGAGAAATTAGAGCTAGTCAGCAGTGTACTGCCTGTCTAGACGACACAGGCTCCTGAATTTGACCTCCAACTCAATAAAAGAGTAAAAATTACAAAGCAGGTGATCTAGATTATGGGAAAGAGATATCTGAAAGGTTTTACAATAGAACAGCACAAAGACCAGAGAACAGCCTTATTGTTGATCCCAAGAAGTGACTTTTAAAATTGAAAGCAGGGATGGGCGGCTTAGTAAAACAAGAAATAATCCATAAGTAATTCTGACTAAAATTCCTGCCCATCTAACAACTATAACTATGCCACATTTGCAAAGAGACCAAGGGGATGGTGAAGAAAATTAAAAGCAGTTTATGTACAGTATGTTTGCTTTTTAAAATATTGTATATTATGATGAGGAGGAGAGGGAGTGTGCGCGCATGCATGTGTTCGTGCATACACAGATACTTGCTCTACCATGCTATTCATGCGGTGGTTGGACAGCAGCTTTGGGGAGTTGGTTCTCTCCCTCAGCCACAGGTCCCAGAGATGAGCTTAAGACACTTCTTACAGCAAGTGTGTTTACCCGTGGTGCTGTCTCACCAGCCCTAATCTCTGTTTCTTAACAAAATTCCATGCACTGAAGAATTGTTTACGTAAGAAACTGTCTTAACACTACCCTTCTAGAGAACTGAGGCTAGAAATCTAATTCATGTTCTGAAACCCCTTTACGGGGACAAAATATTTCTTCTCAACCTTTATTTTCATTGGTGCTTTTTATAGGAGCTTAAACTTTACAAGGTGGGTTAGGTGACCACCCCATCTGCTCAGAGGACTAGGACAGGTTTGTCGTCCTGTTGCTGCTATGCTCTCTTAGATGGAGAGGCTATTAAATCTCAACAGCTTTCGAAGACAGGTATTTCAGCCATTCTGAAATCATGGAAACCAGGTTCAGAACGACTTGTGGGTTATTTGGAATTCCATAGCAGAAATTTGACCTGAATCTCACTCCAAAACCAATATGCTATTCCAAGTCACCTCCAAGGTTGGAGCAAAGCTCAATTAGATCACAGCTTTCATTTTTTGGGGAAAAACACATACTAAATAAAAATTCAGTGCTAGTCAAATATAAAATTCTCTTTCTGACTCAGTATTCTAGTGAAGTCCAAACCTATTACTATTTTGTTGTTTATCTTCAAAGACCCAAACAAAAACCAATTCTGCATTTTATTTTGATATTATAATGCTTAGAAAATACTAACAATTACATTTTGCCATATTTATATAACCAGCCTTGCCATATTTGCTATATACATATATTTAAGTATTATATACATCATATATATATACATATATATATATATACATATATATATATATATAGTACACACACACACACACACACACACACACACACAGAGCCATTTTCCTTCCAAATAGCCAAGCTTTGCTATATTCCTTTCTCTTCTGTACTGTTCTTAGATGTCACTTCAATACACACTAACAAGCACAAGTTGATTGACTGCTTGTCTAGAATGCACAAGGCACTGGGTTTGACTCTGGCCCCATAGCAGTCAGGCTTTGTGGGGTACTCATCTAATCTTCAGGAGTTCAAGGCTATCCTTGAACTATACAACAGCTAAGATACATAACAAAATAAGAAGAAATCACTTACAAGAGATTTGAACATTTTGCGAATGTTAGTAGAAAACAGCACTTGGTACTACCAATACGGTTTGCACAATAACTTAAAGCCTGGCTCAGCTTTTCAGAGAATTAAGGAGGACTTCCTAACAATGCCGTATCTGCTAAGGAAATTCTAAGCAACTGCAGTCTTCTAATCTTGACCAACAAATCTGGCAACCATACAGTTCAAATTACTATACTTCAGAAGCTGATAATTGAAGGTGGAAATTAAAACGGAAGTGAGTATGTAGCTTAAAAAGGCATTTGAGTTTTCTTTTAATTAAAATGCTTAAGTAATGACTAAACTAACTGATGTGGCCAAGAAACATTCTCGACTCACTAAGTAAAAAATACTTGAACACATTTTATATGGCTTAAAAAAAAAAAAAACACTAAATTTGTTTGCAACTCAGCGTCCTCCCTTTTTCGTAGAATTTGTGCAAGAACTTAAATTTAAACTTCATCTTCCCATAGAGCTAAGAACGTGCTGTTTGAGCGTCCACCCCCACCCCCACCACCCAGTTTGATGCTCGCCCACATCGCTGTAAGGAGCGCCTTGCATTAGGTGCACAGCTATGTGGGACGCGGAGGTGCTGGTAGCAACCTGGGCACTAGCTCCAAGGGTATCATCACCTCGGCTTTGCAAGCCTGGGGAGGACCCGCAGGTGCGAAGGGCCCCGGTGTCCTTCTCTAGTCCCAGTTTAGTCTCCTTGGGTGCAGCCTATAGGGTGCACGACCGGTTACCTATCTCTCTCCAGGTTGCAGCTCGCCAGTCCCCGGCCTCGCTCACCTGCTGCGCGGGGAGGCCCCTCTGCAGCCGCCCCTCCATTTCGGTGCAAGTCGGGGAAGATTTGAAAAGCGCGCCCCAGGCTGCAGCTGCGGACCGCACCAACCGCCCGGCTGTACCAAGTCCAGGCTGCAGGGGAAAACCAGCCCGCAACGCCGCGCACGCGCACTGGAGGCCCTTAGGCCACGATCGACGAAAGACTTCGGAGACCCGAGAGCTCTGAACAGACCCTCGGTAACAGCCGGCCTTAAGCGCGGGCGGGGACATGGGCGGGGCCGAGGAGTGTGGTGGGCGGGGTCTGAACCGAGCGTTCTGGCCTGGGTGGGTGAGGGTCTGTAGTGGGCGGAGCTTGAAGTAAGAGGCCTTGCCTGGGTGGGCTGGACAGGGGTGGAATGGGAGATAGGGGGAGGGGAATCTTAGCTCGTGGGCGGGGCCTGAGCCGGTGGGCAGGGTGGAGCCTTGGGGACGTCTCCATTGAGGGCTCAGGCAGGTGATTTACCTCTCAGGTTTGAGGTAAGCTTTCTCTTGCACCTTTAAAGGGATGGACTGACAGGACCCCGCAGAGGAGCAGACATTGTGTGAATTCTTCTATCCCTGGGTTTCTTCACTTCTCTAAAGTGACAGCAAACAGCTTTCCAAAAGCCAGGTCGTTAGCACAATCTTTCCTTAAGACAGGGAGGGGGAGATGCTGAAGGATTGAATTAAGGGCCTCAAGCATAGCAGGCAACTGGTCTACCACTGAACTGTACTGCTCAAACACTACTTTTAATTAAAGGATGTACACACCCTTGCAAAGTGTTTAAAATTGACCCTTGGCTTATCATATGCAGGAAATGGCTAGGGCTTTGGGCATTTTCCTCCTGAAGGAAGACTCTGCCAAATCAACCCTCCTACCTCACCTCATAAAAGGCTTGGGGCACTCTTCCCTCTATAAACAGCCTGACCCTGTTTATTTATTTACCTGGGACATCCCCTATACAGTTTGTTGTCCCAGTGTTCCACCTATCTTAACCCTTATCCCAGAGTAGACTTTAAATTATATGGTCACCTTATTCACAAACCTCACTTCTTAAAAATAAAATGAGTGGATCAGTGAGATGGCTCAGCAAGCAAAAGTACCTGAGGCCAAACCTCCTATTCCAGGATCTGCATGGTGGAAGGAGAGAACCAACTCTCAAAAGCAATCAATATCCCCCATGTGTACCAGAACATGGGCGCACACACACACATACACACACTTCCCCCCTTCCTCTCAAGTAGATAATTGCCTGGTTGAGAACCTCAGGACTAGGTTGATTCTAGAAGCTGCCCAGTTAGGAGTGACTCTCCTCTTAAATTAGCAGCCTGTAATGACCCACAATTGTAAACTATGTGAAACTCAAAATTACTAACACCCAACTCACCCAGTTCCCTCCAAACACAGGGTTGAATTCCATTGTCATTAGGTGCCCCTTGCCCTAGTACTCAGATTTCTTGTGCTACCACTTTGTGGTGTAATTATCCCCAACTAATGTGAGCTGCAGGAACCAGGCATAATACCTGACTCACAAAAGAAATACACATAGAGAGCTCATCTTCATAACACAGTGATTGTCATGTAACACACACATCTCTCAGACTCAGCTCAAAATATGTGCCAAGGACAGCATCTTGAGAAAAACAAAAGAAGATGACCAGTTTCAAATTGGACACACATGTAGAAGAAATATTGTTAGATGAGTACACAGGTGTAATAATCATAGGAAGAAATCTAGGAAAGGCCATGTTAGTATTTACCTGTAGACTATAGGTAGTTGCTGTTAAAGACCTTTCTCTTTGTAGGAGAAATAATTCAGGCCCATCACTTTCTTAGTCATCAAGGGATGTGTCCTGGAAGTGCTTAAATGCTTGCTGTCTAGCTGGTGATTAGAATACCTCAGAATAGGATTTCTGTTTCCTTATTTATCCCCAATTCCTTTCTTGTTACTGCTAGCTTCATCAAACATAGTTCTGTTTGATGTCTGCAATGCATACAAAATAGAACCATCCATCAAAACAGCAGAAGGTTAAAGATGACGGCTGAGATTGTGCCCCAATTGGCAGGATGCTTGCTTAGCCTGTACAAGGTCCTGAGTTCATTCCCCAGCACACCAGAAATTGGGCATGGTGATACGTCCAGATTATCCTAGTACTCTAGAGATAGGGGCAAGACTTCAGAGCTAGCACTAGACAATAAAAAGTTCCAAGTTGTCTGTCCTTGGCTACAAAGTGAGTTGTGGCTAGTGTGGACTACAAGAGACACTGCCACAAATAAAATGGGTTAAAGAGCTCAAGAAGTAGTTGCGTTAACTTGAGAATTTATTTTCCTAGAAATGTACTTATTTCACAACTACAAGAAAATAGTACTTTTTGTTTTGTTTTGTTTTTACAATTTGAGAGCAAAATTGAGGCATCTTTCAACTCCCTTTCCTCTAGCTCTCCCAGAAGATGTTAGATATTACTCACCTACTCAGGTTTGCTTCAGCTAGAGGTTGAATAATGGGGTCATTTCAATATTGAGTATAATATGGGCATTATTTATATTAGCAACAAATAGAGGTTAATTCATAATTAAATGCAGAATGAGAGAAACAAAGCCACCAAGTGAGACAATAAGTGTTAATATTTTTCTATATTATTCTTCTTAACTTCCACTGCCGTGGAACTCCCAGATATCCCTGTGCCTCTGGAATGTGGGGATTCAAACATGTCCCCTGCCCCGCCCTGTACCCAGACCTATTTTTTTTTTTTTTTTTTTTTTTTTGGTTTTTAAACAGTTTATTACAGAATAGGCACATCTCTCTTTTTTTTTTTCACTCAAGACTCTCAAAAACAAAAAATCCCAAGTTGAAAATTATCTTGGAGGGTCAGTGAGAGAGCTTAACAGGTGAAAGAGCTTGCCACCAAGCCTGACGACAACCTGAGTCCTATCCCTGAGACCTACATGATAGAAGCACAGAACTGACTCCATAAGTTGTCCTCTGACTACACACAGGTTGTCACACACAAATGCCCACACACACAATAAACAATACATATTTTTTTTAATTTAAGGAAAATTGTCTTGGGGCTTTCTTGACTTATATGTTCATTTTGTAGATAATGGGATTAAAATGAACTCTAAAGAGAAGTGTTTGTTTGTTGAAGGAGGGGAGGAAGGAGGGGGAAAGAAAGAGGAAAAAGAGAATAAAGAGGAAGAAAGAAGAAATGATGGGGGAAGAGGTAATGATGCTAAGCAGTATTTTTTTTAAATGAATAAGCCATAATCTAAAAACAGCTGAAGCATCATACAATCTTACAAAGGATACAGGTTGCTGAGTCTGAGGACTTAGCTCTACAATGTTGTGAAGGCTGCTCAGTTCCCTCACCTGTAAAACAAGAATGCTAATTACTGTCTTGTAATTTAAAGTTGAGACAGTGACAGTCCGTTGAGATAAGGTTTTGAAAGTTCCCTGTAACCTCATCCCACAAACAAAAGATGTTACTAATAAAGAAAGAACATACCAGTACCTAAAGTCAACCATGTTAGACCCCAAGAACTCTATGAGTAAATTGGGAAAAACATATATATTTAGAAATATCCAACACATCACCTATCACTGACAATATTGGGAATATGTACGAAGGAGGTGGGGGTAGGGGACTTGCTGGTACTTGCCTATCATATCAGCTGTTCTGAAGTCTGGCAATGGATTAATAGTTTGAGGCTACCTGGACAATTTAGCCAGTCAGTCAAAATAAAACAGAAAGGGGCTGGGGATATTAGCTCAGTGGCAAAGTACCCAAGAAACACAAGACCCTTGGTTTGATCCCTAGTACTGGAAAGCAATGCAGCCACAAATATCCAGCTAGAAAATACCCAAACTGTATGACAGAGTACAGCATTAAATCCATACAGTAAACATAAGTATTGTTCAGGCTTATTATTAGTCTATCGGTTGCAGATGAAAGATTGAGGGGGATAGATTTTATGGTTAGTAACTCGATCAATATTAATCCAATAATGCTAGGGTTTGGAAAGTGGGAATCTGATCGATACAATACATTGGCATAGACGATGTAAATATGCCCAGTCACTTTGGGGGAAAAGTTAAAATATAAAGTTGAAAATGTATGCGTGGGCACACAAATGTGTATCCATATGTAAATTCTTCACTCATAGGTATATATACTTCCCTTTTAACAGATACTTGCAAATTTGTACTGGCAGCATTGTGCTTGTAATAGAAAAATTACCAAAATATCCCAAGTGTTTATTTCAGGAGTGTGGGTAAATTATAGCACTCTGCCCAGACAACATACATCTTTAAAAAGGAATGTAGCATAACCATGTGTTATCTGGGTAAGTTGGTATTTCACAGAATGAAGGAAGCTAATTTCAGAAGACTGCATTGGATATAATATTTTTGTGCTCATCCCCCAAGAGAATTGAAGCTGTATTGTTCACTGAAACCCATATGATAAAAGTTTACATTAATACAGAAGACAATGCTTTGGAGGGCATGTGTCTGAAGTGTTCCCAAAGGCTCAAACATTGAAGGCTGGGTCTCCTTTGCAGTACTGTTTAGAGATATGGCCTTTAGAAGATGATTGGACTGTGAGTGCTCTATCCTCACTGTATCATTGCACTGTTTGATTTGATGGCCCCCCATAAGGCAGTGATGGGGCCTTGTTGGAAGACATCAGGAATTGGGGTTTATCCTTGGTGCATCTGGTTACTCTTCTGTTACTGTGATAAAACATATTTGGCTATGGTTCCAGGGGGAGAATCCATAATAGTTGGGTAAGCATGGCAGCAGATGGTGGGAGCAGGAAACTAAGATATCACATCTTCAACTGAGACAGGAAGCAGAGACAATAAACTAGTGAACTAGAAGTGGGGTGAGATTATGCAAACAGCACTACATACTCTAACATAAAATAGCACCGTTGTGGAGCAAAGAGTTCATTCAGATTATAGCTCCCAGTTGTAGCCCATCATTTTGGGTAAGTCCAGGCAGGAACTCAGGTAGCTAGTCATGTCCCAGTCTCTGAGTTCACATGGGCATCGGCCCTGCTGTGTCTAGAAGGACTTGTTTCCTTGGTGTCCTCCATCCCCTCTGGCTCTTACAATCTTCCTGTCTTCTCTTGCAAAGTCTCTTGAGCCTTGAAGGGAGAGA